CAATCTGAAGGACACACACAAAGAAAACACTAGCTTTACAGTGTACTGATAGTGGTAGTTTGTAGATTTGACGGTTCTAATCTTACTTTAGAACTGGCTGGAACTCTTATTGTCTTATTATAAATAGACCAGAGGTGTGGGAGTTTTTAGATACAATTAGCACTAATAAAACAACAATAAATGGATGAAGCTGACTTTTGTTACTTGTTTTTTGAAAAAAAAACAAAAGCTCTTTTGATCTGACCTCAGATTTTCCACTGTATAATGTTGAGTCTTTAGTCCACTGCAAAGAAGCTTCACTCCCGAATCCTGCAGATTATTATTACTTAGGTCCAGCTCTCTCAGACAAGAGGATTGGGAGCTGAGAACCAATGAGAGAGCTTCACAGCTACTCTCTGAGAGTTTACAGTGATTCAATCTAGGAAAAAGAATGGCATGTATTAAAATTAACTCACTTTAGATGAAGAAATCAAACATCAGTGTGGAGCACAAGTCTTTATTAACTTACAAATACATTTTAATCTGGAAAAACATTTAAAGATTTGGAATTGTACCAGTAACAACCTAATGATAACTCTATAATTAAATGTAAACCGGTAAGGACCTGGTTGATTTAGTAACTCTAGTTCAGTACCTGCAGGGCTACAGGCCCTGTTCATATTTCTAATTGTAAAATATACAATTACTGTTGCTAAATGGCAATCAAACCAATACTTTTCATTACATACTTGACCGTGTTTTAGCGTCTGAATTAATCCTTTATACTTGCTCGTTTAGCTTTTTCCTCTTAAGCCCTTACTAAAATCCTACTTTCTTTTGATTAGCCAATTTAAGGATCCCTGCTAAAGGCACCACTCTGTCCTTTTGAACTCCACCATGTCCACTACATGTGCATAGGTTTTGTGAAATAAATGGTAAAACCTTTATAGACAATTTCTGGTTTACAATTACCAATAAAATCTTCTCGCATCCATTTGTACATTTCAGAGCCTGATTCTGGAACATAATAGTGGACGTCGACAAATACAAAATCATTGCTTTCTTACTGAGGACTGAGGACTTCTTACTGCATTTAGTCTTTCAAATATGAAATTTATGATAAAAAAAAGTGTCCCTGTTTAAAGAGTGTGACAGCTAAATTATTTTGGAGAGAGAACACCAGATCAGATCTGAGAGAATTAACAATACTCCTTCCAGAACACTGATTATGAATTTTGTTACCCACAGGGACAAACTGAAATCAAATCAATCTACACTGAATAAGTGGACAAAAACTGATTTCTAGGAATCAGTGAATAAGATTAATAAGTGCTGACAGCAGGAAACCAAATGCAACATAATGACTAAGATTCGGTTCACCAGCAACTGAAGTACCTGGGTGTAAGTGACTGTGACATTTGAAAAGTGAAGTCATATCTTCAACTAAGCAGGACACTGATCCTGAGAATTATCCTTTTTCTCAGGGTTGCGGAGTGGTTGGAGCCTGACCTAGTTACAGGCTAAAGCTCTTGGAACTCTTACCCAGGGTTAACATGGAGATACCACCAACCATTTGCACTGACATTCAAACCTATGGGCAATTTAGAATTAACAGTTCACCTAACCCCACCTCTTTGGCCTGCGGGAGGAAGCCGGAGAACCAGGAGAAAACCCACAAAAACAACCAAAAATTAAAAAATACAATCTGCATTTTGTAGTTTAAAAAAAATCCTTTTAGA